GTTTGATAAAATGTTAAGGTGGTTCCGATGTAATCAAAAAAAGTTACTTTCTATTCATTAAGCATTAATTTTCTCAAAATTAGGTACAGAATGTGTATAAAAATATATATTTTTGAACTCCAAAAATATATAGCTGATCACATAGGGGCCTATAATAGTCAAAATAACCCCTAAAAATAGAGTTTACTAGAAAAACAATTACTTATGAGTAAAAGCTCATTTTACTTACAAACTTGGTATACTTATGCGTGTTACCTATATCTAGTGCGTGAGTTTTTTTTATTAAAAGATCCTGTTTCTACTAAAAGTTATGCTTCAAAACAACTGTATTTTTAAAAAATCTGCTACTAGGCCTCTGATCTTAGTTCCCTAACCACAACTTACAAATAATAAATTTATTTGAAAAAAACTCAGGCAATAGCAGTACACTTGATAAATAAGCCCTGAAAATTTCAAGTAGTTATCACTATTAATTCAAAAGTTACGATGTTTTTCGTGAGACAATTTTCTTGAAAAACGATATCGTAGAAAATCAAAAAACAAGAGGAAAAATTTGTTTTTAAAACTAAAATCCTCCTTTTAAATAAGTTTCTCCTCCCTCTTTATGAATTAAATGTTGAAATTTATTGTATTATTTATAACCCGTCGGGAAATTGGCTAGCGAATAGTTAGCTATAATAGTAACGATAAAGACAGCGATATGGCCACGAGGATCGCTACTTTTTATTCATTCCAGTCATGTCAAATTGCATTTTTTGATTGCATCGGTTTTTTGACGATATTAATTCGAGACAATAAATGGAAGTACAGCATATTTGGAATACAGCAGGTAATTTCGAATAGCCGAACTTCTCAATTAATATAAACGCAATTTCTGTAGTTATTTCGGAAACACAAGGTCAAATAATTACATGAAGTAAATGATTAATAAAATCAGTGCGCTATCTTGATATTTTTGCCGACAGCCACGCGTTAACAAAATGTTAATTTTGAAAACGTTTTTGTTAAAAATGTAATCCTTCATAATTATTCATTAGTATATTCAAAATTCTTTTTGTAATCAAATAAATTATTAAGAAACTTGGCTGATCTAAGATTGCGTTTTGATTTTAGTTTACTTTTTTTTTTTTTTTTTTTTTGTATTTTTTTGTAGTCCCAGAAGACCTTACGGTCTCATTGCAGAGCACTACGGGAGAGCATTTAACTAGCGCACAACTCCTTCCGATGTCGTTTGCTGGGCTAGAGCCGGCGTTGAACTTTGGATCTCTGGGTTCTAAGCCAGAAACCTGAATCACTGAACCACGGCTGCTCATGAATGCTAATCCCACTGCTACTTATAACTTAAAAATGTCAATGAAAAAAAGATAAATTTAATTTTGAATACTGTATTCTATATTACCTGCACCTCAAGTATATCATATTTTTCGAGATTTTTATTTAGATAGAATTTTTAATAAGGTTTTAATTTTTGATTTAGTTGATTTTTAATTTTTTCCCAATTTAGAGTTTTTTTTTAATTGAACTAAGCGAATAACTTATTCCCAAAAAAAACTGGTATTCCAAATATGCTGCACTTCCACTACCAGTACCATATGACTAAAATAATCATAAAAATTTTTTAGATTTGTTTTGCTAGTCCAGTTGCTTTGGTCCCTGCTTTTGGGTTGTTGGCATTTTTAGCCACTGCATTAATACATTGAACACCGACATTGGAAAAAGAACCACTTTCCTACTACCAATCCTGCATTTCTAAAATGTATTGGAAACATGCTTTTACATGACTTGAAAAATCTCACTAGGCATTTTAAACTTTTTACAATGAGCTTTTAACGAATGCCATTGCTGTTAAAGCACCAAACAAATGTGCTTCATGGACATTTCATGAAATAGGACACTGGACATGTTTTTCTAATCGCTGTTTCCTTCAATTAAGAGCTCGATTTTTAGATTTTAGAACAATTGGTAGCAAGAACAAAATACAGCATTTTTATGGTTCAAATAAAATAGAGAAAATTGATCTGAGCATTTACTATTTTGTAATTTCCTTAAAAATTAACATCGAAAAGAAATGCCGCTTCTGAAAACTGTCAGGTACTTTTTTCAAAACCACAAAACGGTCTTTCTTGACTGAGTAAACACGTTTTTTATTGCTAATTAAAGATGTTGCGTCTTCCAATTAAAGTCAATATTCTGGCTCTCATTTGCATTGCTTGAGCCTGTATCTTTCATCCCCAAATTTTTTTTGCAAGTTAACTGAACCAGTTAACTTGCAAAAAAAGTGTGGGCAGGAAAAATACAGGCTCCCATTTTCTTTAATGCCATCTAGAGGTAATTCTGCAATAAGGAGGAGGAGGGGGGGGGAGAATCCTTAAAAAGTACCGACTGGTTTCTTAAAAAAAAAGGAAAAAGAAAAGTCCTCAAAACTTAAATTTACCCAACTGAATTGTGTCAAATATACTCGTCAAAAAACCAATTATATCTTGAAAATCACTTTCTTTTGGGGGGTGGAACACTCCCCTTCCCAGACATACACACCCCGTAAAATCGCCTCTGATGTCATCTGACTTTTTGACCACATGTTGGCGAAGTTAATTTTTTTTTCTCTTTCTATTATTTTCTTAATAAACTCTTGTTTTCTACTGTCTAAGCACCAATAAGAACATTTAAAGTCTGTTTTTTCTTTACAGGTTATAAAGTTTGAAAAGAAAAGTTTTGTGGTCTTCAGTAATATTTGTCTAAGCACGCCAAAAAATTTATCAAAAATGTACTAAATTTATGCAATAAATTCACTTTTTCGAATTCGTTGCGAGAAAAACTAATAAATCTGATGCAACAAAAAAATCTGATGCAACAGTGTGGCACAATCGCACAAAAATTCTTCAATTCTTGAATTTTTATAACAAAATTTTTCATTTAAATAAAACTTCGTTATAGAGATTTATTAATTTTAGATTTAAATTTTTAAACGTTAAAGAGATTCAAACAGTAACAGTATAATATTTCGAAGAAATATTATACTGTTACTGTTTGAATTTTTCTTTTAGTTTTTAAGTCTTAAAACTTAAAAACTAAAAGAAAAATTTTCAGCATAGTTAAATTATATTCGTTTTATATCAATTCTTGTAGGTAATTGTTAAGATGTTAGATGTACTATTAAGATGGTAACTATTTATAAATTACTCTAAGTTTACAAAAAATGAATTTTAATTGAAAGATTGGATTGTGAATTAATTCACAAAATAATAAAATTTAACTTTCATAGTCATTTCATACATCAACATTTCAATAATAAGTTTTAACTTTCTTTTTGTCCTTTACGTTGTAATAAATTTAAAAAATTTTTATAATTATGTAAACTTTTCAAATAGTAAATGTTTTGTAAAATTTTCCAATTTAGGAAGTAATAAAAATGATTGAATAATAAAAAAGGGGAAGTAAAAGAAATTAAAGTTGAATAAAAAACTAGAAAAAGCCAAGTATTTTAGGATGTAATTAAAAAGAAATTAACGATTAATTGTACATTAGGTTTTAATCTTTAATGTTATGCTTCTTATAAATAAAATACTTGTTAAAAATTATGATTTGCTTAATAAAAAAACTTAACGTTTATTTATACAAATTTAAATACTTTTATTTATATAAGTAATGTAAACTTTATTTATAAAGATATTATTTTCAATATCTGCACTGTCCAATAATAAGCAATAAGCTAAAACAGGTCTAGACTAGTTTCATTCATCCTAATGTTCTAAAATTATGCGGGGCTTTTTAAATGTACTTAAATTTATCAGATTTGAAAACAAATTTTAGCAAAAGTTAAATTCAATTGGTTGTGCCTAGCAATGTATGTCACTTTATATCAAATCTTAAATTTTGCTACATACATTTACTCAAGTATTAAGGAAAAAATAAATCTACAGCATAGATTGCCGTCAAAACATGAATTTAGAAGCCAAGATAAATAAAACATTATATTTTGAAACGAATAAATGTTATAAATATTTTTTAAATAAAGATCCAGATGGCCATCATTTAAAAATAATTTCCGATTTTATTATATGACGTTTTGTATTTTAGCATAACTAACTATGCTATGTGTTTATTTTCTATCGTTCATTTATCTAAGCTCTCATCAATACGTTTATTTTATAATTTTGTAAAAGTTTTTTTACGATTCTATATGACACATGGTTTAGAGAGTACATAAAAGTTTAAATTTCTAACAATTTAAATGACATGTTTTAACCAACATGTGTTTTAAGTTTATCAGGTTTTCTAATATCTATACAACCACCATTCATATTTTTTATAAATTGTTCAGATTAGTTAAATTTTCCATTCAATTTAAATTTCAGTTTTCAAATAACATCAGAAGATTAGTAATTTTTAATCTGTCATGCTAAGAAATACTTAGCGTTTTTAATAATATATATGCAAAGAAAAACTATCGTACATCTAAGATTTTCAACCTCGGCGTGTATAGTTTTAAATCTGTACTGTTATGCTAAGAAAAACTAAACATCTAAGACTTTCAACCTCGGCGTGTATGGTTATAAGTATTTTGTGTCGCGAGAGATGTCTACAGTTTATTACGTAATAAAAATATATAATTTTTATTGAATTGATAAAAAACTAAAAAACGTTTTTTTAGGCAAAAAAAATCATATAGCTATAAAAAATAAGCTTTAAAAAACTAGGTTGAGAATTTCCAGTGCGAGTATAATAATATAACCTTTAACAGTTTCGATAAACTTTATTGAAAAAGTTTTAACAACAACCACAAAGGTTTTTCTCGTAATTTTTGCCTGTTGTAAATTTGTTCTTTTTAGTTTTAACGCATTTTTAAGAATAAACTTTTTTATTCCTTAACAAGAAACTATTTTGATACGATTAAACGTAGGATTACACTCCGATAATCAAGAGTAGAAAAACAAATTTTAAAACGTCTAAAAGACGACTTTGTGTCTAATGACTAATTTTTTTTAAAAAAAATTTAAAACCTCTAAACGTCTTTGTGTCTATACATCGTCTTGTGTTGTACTTATAACAAGGGTGCTTAAATTTCGTAAACGAAGGCTTTTGATAAAAAAAATTTTTTAAAGAAATCTTTTGTGAATGAAAAAGAAACGCAGAAGTTTAAAACATATGGTTTAAAACCTAGAAAAAAAAAAAAAAAAAAAAAAAAAAGTTTGACAAAGGCTTTAAAACAGCATTCTTATTTAAAAAAAAAATACAAGCAAAATTAATATTTTATTCACATAGCATAAAAATACTTTTACAGTAGGAATAAGTTATAATTGAAAAAGAAGTCAAATATTAAGACTTTTTTTTAAAACACTTACAGATTCACAAAAACGAAGCAAACTATATAAAACCTATAAAATTTAGGATGTCTTTTTAGAATTAATTATGTACAAATTTTTGTTTTGAAATTAAGAAGTTTTAAGTAATTTACCGGAAAAAAAAAGTTCCAACAATTTGTTGGACAAAACAATAACTTTATCTTTCATTAGCTAATCTAATCTTTCATTAGCGTTCATTAACTTTCATTTGCTGTTTATCGAAAATCTCATTTTTTTGAACCACAAAGTTAACCAAATAAACTACAATTTCCCCCTCTAAACCACAAGTTTCCAAACTAACTTTATTTAAGTACATATTTTTTCTAAAAACTAAAACTCTTGACTGGCTTCAATACTGCTTCACGTCTACTTTTAAACCATTATGAGATTTTGTTTAATATTAGTATCGGAATAACAATTCAAATAAAAATTCGATGCCGAATTAAAATTCCACATATTTACATCACCAATTCTTCATAGCGATTCGTTTATCATGGCAGTCAATATTCACCAATCCTTCATAGCGTTAATCATGGCAGTCAATGACTGAAACTCTAAGTTGTTTTTAGAAAAAGTTTTTTCTGGAAATTCAAAGTTTTTAAAAAAGTTGTCCCCATTAATAAAAAGCTTATTATAACTTAAAATACCATCAGTAGTATAATCGGTTTGATCGGATTTCGAAAATTCGACTTCTTTTGCATTAGTATCATGAAACGGATGAATTGGCGTTGCATCGAGTTGTTTGACAATTTCTAGAAAGAAACCAAAATGGCGAATATTTACACTTTTTTAAATAAAAATTTAAGATAAAATAGTGAGTTAAATAAATAAAGTTTTACTGTTAAAAGAAATATCTTTTTATTCCAACTTACCATTGTTTGAAATACTGTGCCTCAGTTTTTCATTATTTTTTTCTCTCTTTCCGTGCGTTAATTTTGTATCGCTGTTGGTTTTATCTCTTTTTCTACTTAGACGAAATGGATTCATTTTTGAAAAACTAGAGATCCGTTTGATTAACAAGTTTTCGGTTTGCTTTTCCAAGCAAACGGACAGCTTACTGGAACTTCGTTTATCTGTTTCCTCCCTTGAGAATTCCATTTTAAAAATTGCGGATTTAATTTTTATGAGCAATTTTCTAACAAAAAGGATGCTCCCAAGACGATAATAAAAATTTACGAGAATTACCACGATAGTAAATTATTTGTCGATTTTGCCACTTAAAAAAACTTGTAAAAATTATATCAGGAAGCGCATCAAATGTCCGTTCTCATGAGTTGTTTATTTTATTTGTCGGCAAACATCTGCGCCAGAGATATAAGAAAAAATAAAATTTTATAAAACAAAGGTTATTGTTTAAATTAATCGCAAGCTTGAGTTATTTATTTGAAACTTTTTCTTTATTCATTTTTCGTTTTATCTTTTACTTGCGGCCATATTATTTTTAGTTTTATATAGTTTAGTTAACTTATGAAACTTTTAACTTATTTCTTATGTATGTTGGATTTAGTATGAGAAAATTGTGCAGGAGAGTAACATTTTTTATTTGTGCTCTAAATCTTTTAATGGTTTCTGTTTGAGTTTAAGTGTTTATTTGCTATTATAGTTCAAGGCAGGTTCAAAAGTACACGTCTATTGACAAAACTTTAAATGTTTGCTTCAAACAAATATTCAACATAAATAACTTCTTTTTTTATTTATTTAACAGTAATATGGATTTTAAAAACCGTCTGTTCGTTACTAAAACATTAATACTTTAAATCTCATTTGGAATAAGAACGGATTCATTTATTAAAAATATATGTTTCAAGCTGAAGTCAAAATAAATGCAAAATAAATAGTTTATTTGTTTTATTAAAATGAAAATCATCTTTCTCCTAAGGATGATTGTCAAAATGATAATTTTATGAAAGAAACTTACGTTAATAAAAATATTTGCGCGACATTTTTAAATGTTTAATATAAAGCAACTTTTATAAAAACTGTGTTTTTTAGAATAAAATATAAATCTATTCTTATAAAAGATTTGATTTCGAATTTATTAAATACCGTAACACGTAATACTTTGGCCATTTTTAAAAACTCAATGAAACATCTGTAACTTTAATTAAACATCTGTAACGTTACTTTACTTTTAAACAGTTAAGTAACGTTTTACTATTTTAAATAGTAAAACGTTACTTAACTGTTTAAAAGTTACAGATGTTTAATTAAATTTTTTTTAAATGGCCAAAGTAACCCCGCTGGCCAAAGTAACCCAAACCCAGGCCAAAGTTACGGTATATATAAAAAAATATGAATATAATAAAATATTGTGCTCAAGCAATGGTTTCAAATTGCTTCCCTTGTTCCCTTAAAAATTAAAATTAATATGATTTTTTTAAATAACAAAAAATGCATTTTTTTTATTGGTTGTTTTGTTGTTAAGGCCTTAACATATTTAAAAAAAAAAACAATTTTGTGAAAGAACTAAATTCTAATTTTTATTCTATTTGATTTTTTTTACTAATATAATTTCTTTGTGATTCGTGAATATGATTTTATGTAAAATCGAAATGTATTAGAAAAAATGATTACAGTTTAAGTATTTATTTAAAAAACAAATTTCATTATAATGAGTTTTATAAATTTTCCAAGATTAAAACCATTTTTTAAAAGACCACGCGGTTACTGATATTAGCAACTTTCTGATTGCTGATTGATTTGCTGCAGCTAATGTATCAAATTTATCAAGCATGCTGATAAACTAGCAACATACGCCAATTTTCATTAAAAACTTTTTTTAAACCATAGAGAAAAAAAAAAGAACTTCTAAAAAACAACAATTTTTTGGATAAGACAAAGAAAAAAGAGAACATAGTTATAACCAAGCCAAAGATAATTTTAAAATAGAAAACCATCGTAAAGGTTATATATTACTATATTAACCCTATATTTACACTAGATTACATAAACAAACTTTTTGTAAAACAAAGTTGCAAATATTGACATGGTTATTCGCGGTTAATTTTTTGAGACGTAATGAGCAATGCGTAATTATATTTTTACTCTTAATAAGCTACATTTTGTTTGCGAGCGCCTGTGTTCCATATCTCGATGAAATCTGCACGAACTGATTCTCATGAAAGTTTATTCGGTAGAGTTAAAGTAAGTTGAGATAAGTTTACATGCTGCAGAATGACAGCATGAACTTTAGGTGTAATTGAAGTTCTAAGGAGTTTGTATTTTTATGCTTAAATAAGAATTGAGGACATTGACTACATCGTGTTTTAAATGCAGTCATAGGTTTTCCACCTTCTAATATCTTAAATATTGATAATTTCCAACCATTTCTCCTAAAAAAAACCTGTTTAAGAAATAATTAGATTGGTTTCCGTTTTTTGCATTTGTGGTGTATAAATGCTAGCCTTATTTGATTAGCTGGTAGATTTCACAAAAAAAGATTTACTTTGATTACGGATAATATTAAATAATCAAACTGCCAAGTTAATCTAACAAAAAATAGATAAAAAAAATCTCATAAACTTTTGTTTTTGGAATTTGCTGTTTCTAAAGAAAAATTTAGCAGAGAAAGTTTTAAACAATTCTAGTAACTTGCAGCTAATAGTTTTGATTTCTTTATATGAAAGTATTATGATAAATAAAAGCATAATTAACGGCATAGTATCTGATCATTCTAAGTGTCGTTAAAATTTTGACATGGCCTGGTTTTCAAAATTATTTTTAGATGTTTTACATCAACGACAGGGATATATTGATTCAAATGAGTCTAATCCAAGAAAATCATTTACAAGTTTTATGAACATTGTTATTGTATTTTTAAAAAGCAACTTTATCAAGATAAAGTAAATCTAAAAATTATTTCATATTTTCATTTTTTTTTTTTTATAAACTCAACTATTTCCGAACCATTTCCAACCATTACACCGTTTCCTATCACCTAAGTCATGAAATTTTGAATAAAAGAACTTTTGTTTGGTTTTTTCTCTATTGGCGATTTAATATATTTATACAGATTTTTAAAAACTGTCCCTATCAATTCCTACTTTAATTATATATTTACCTGGTAAAAGTTTACGCTGGACAGCGATATGTTAAACCAATTAAAACAAGCCATTCAAAAAAGTAACTGAGCACCGATTGGTTTATTTTTTCACAGTGCTTTTCCATTTTGTTTAATACCATCAAAAAATAGATCCATGTTCATAGTTGTAGAGCTTTATAAAGATTTTAGTGCCTTATTATATTGACCTAATTTTCTAGCTAAACTTTATTCAATTTGCAACCCGTCCAGGTTAAGAAAAAAGTGTCTGTTTTGCGGTCCTGTTTCAAACAGTGTTGATAAAAAGTGTAAATCTTCTCGCCTCCACTTTTCTTTAGCAGCAGTTGGCAGCTGCCTCCCAATAAATTTTCAACAGAATGTTATGCCTTTCGTCAAAAATAATTCAAATTAACTATAACTTATTAAAAATTATTTCGAGAAATGATTTTAAATAAGTTTAGTAGTTTCATATTTAAAACGAATGTTAAAAATTGGAAAATTAATTTCTATGCCTTAAGCGAAAAAATCTTTTAGAAAAAAATATTTTAATAAAAAACTAAATTGTTAGTTTATGATCAAAATTCGATCTTTTTTATCGCCCATTTATTAAATACTTAACTTTTATCATTAGAAATTGTAAAAATAATTTAAAACTACAATATACATTTAACGTTAAGAATTTATTATTTTAAATAATTTAATATTAAGTTATTCAATTGTAAAAATCTTGTATAAGACTTTTACTGTCATGAGATTTTTACTTCCCAAATAACAATGTATTTTGCGACCACGCTGTATTTTATCAATATTATTGACTCAATAGTATTAACAAAATGATCACAAAAAAGATTTTTGTAATTAGATTGAAACAAGTCACAATCTTTAAAATGTTTTAAAGTGAAGACCAAATACTTTTTTTGAAAATGAAATAATTAATATACTGTATTATCAGTCTATAAATATATTGATATACCGTTTATAAACAACCCGGTGGGAAATCGGCTAGCAAATAGCTCGCTATAATCGTTGCGATAAAGACAGCGATTTGGCCACGAGGATCGCTAGCTTTTTTAAGTTAGCGAAAAGCTATCGATATTTGTAAAGATAAAGACAGCGATTTGGCTACGAGGACAGCTAGCTTAAAAAGCTAAAGACTCACAGGCTATTGTAGCTACCGTCGTATCGTAATAAAATCGCTAAAACTTTTGATATATAGCTATCAACCAACTATAGATTTGTAGATATTTTGTAACTAGCTACAAAGCTACGATATGTAGCTAGGGACACATTGCTACAAAATCGCAAAATGTTGAAAGTTCAATTATTCTCATAATTATAATAGGCTCAACACTAAAAATCGAATTTTTAAAGATTTTAGAGACATTAGTAAAGAATAAAATAAGAAAAAAAAAATCGCTTGAAAATCATTATAAAGCTAGCTAGTCGCTCGCTAGTCGCTAGCTCATTTCCTACCGGGAATGTTATATTCACAACTGTGTACAATTAAAAGTATTTAGATGTTAAACTAAACTTAACTAATACTTAATCAATGTTATTAATTGATAGTTAGCAATGTAATTATTGTGATTAAATTTAATTATTCAAATATTTCAACTACATAATATATTATTAATCGCAAAAACGATGTAACTCCACTTTTGGTCGATTTTTAGATTTAAACGGAATATTTCACATCTAGTTTCATTCTCTGAATTAAAACCAGTGTAGATACGTGTTTGTCACAATCTTGGCATAAACTAAAAACTTAACAATATAATTTTTGTATATTACGTTCTTCTCTCTTCTTTTAATTTATTTATTTTCATTTGAAACCGTATCAATAATATCAATTTAAGATTAAGTTTTTTTAAGTTTTATACCGACTACAACATTCCAAGCTACCGACTACAACATTCCAAGCTTCTTTTAGAGCAAGAACAATAACTTCATTGACAAGTATTGATGTTTAAATATTCATTCTTTTTTGTTAAACCAACTTCTTTTGTTTATAATAAGCGTACCGTTCAATTTAAATCTGTTACAGCATTATAAATTTTTGATTCTTACTTCTTTTTCAGTTTCCTCTCAAAAGTTTCCTCTCCTCTTCCAGTTTCCTCTTCAGTTTTAATTTATACTCATTTCTCAGTTTCCTCTCCATCTAAAGCGGATTTAAACTCTTTTGCATTAATCATAATTTCAAATATTTAGAATTGTTTATCAATATTATTATGTTTCGTTTAATCTTTCTTTTGACAAATAAATTTATCTTTATACATCAACTTAAATATAAAATACAAGCAATTATTTGTTTATATTTGTTATCGATTTTATTTTTTCATAAAATAACGTCTGGCATCTTGAAATAAGTAACTTTAATAAGGTATTACTAAAAAATTGGTAAAAATTTTAGTTAAACCAGCATGAGGAAGTAAAAAAATGCCTCTCAAACCTCTAATCTTAATTTTTTTTAAACGATAATAGTTTTGTAATATAATAATTATTATATTTTCTCATGTCGACGTGGTGCTGTGGCTTAGCGGTTAAAGCGCCTGTCTAGTAAACAGGAGATCCCCGGTTCAAATCCGGGCAGTGCCTAGTAATATTTTTCATTTTAAAGTATGTTTTGTCCTCATATTTTTTATAAAATATATAGTCAGTGGCGGCGGATGCAAGGGAGTTATAAGCCATTACTCCACCCTACTAATTATAAACATAAAAACTGTAGCAGCTGGCTCTTCATAGATACAATAATATAAAAATCTTAGATGCAATAATATAATAATCTTTATCATAGATACAATAATATAAAAACGCGTGTGATGAATGTTTAATCAATTACTTTCGGTCGACAATAGGGCAGGAACGTCTAAACTACCTATTATTTCTGCATTTTCAACATTTCAATCATTACTCATTTATAATGAATAATGATTGTAAAGTTTATCAGCAAAAATTCTCAGAAAAATACCTCGGGCACGACAGAATCTGTTTTCCCTATAACAACGCTAGTCCTCTCATTGAAAAATTAAGACACCAAAAGCTTGGCTGGGAAACTTTGCTTTATTTGCTTTACTTACCCGACTTAGCGCCAGATGATGATGTAAGCAGGAAAATAGGCGGTCTTCAGAAAAGTGAAACCAAGGAATTTTAATTGATTAAAGTACTTTTTAAGAGATTTAATTCTGAAAATTATTTTATCGCTTTAGTTTTAACGGATTAGGTTTTTGTAGTATTTACACATGTCGAATAAATCAGCACTCCTATAAAAAGGTGCTAGAGAACTTCATAATTTCATTAGTAGACCTGCTGATTGATTGGAACGAAAGGTTGAAAACAAGATATAGTACCAGTGAACACAACTCATACAAAGAATAGATGAAAGAAAACATAATAAGTTTGTTGCCCCGCCAGCTCGATCATCAGATTTGAATAGAATTAAATTTAATCAAGCTGGGATGGGATTTTAACCCTAAAAGAAGCATACCAGCTTTTTAAACATAATCAATATTGGATTAAGCAGGTTTTGTGAACTGAAACCAGTATACGTTCGATCTATTGCAAATTTTACTCCTAACGTATGCGTTTGCACTTACCACCAAAGTATACAGTTTGCTTTGAATTCCTTGGGGGCATCCATAAAGTACGTACGCAGTAAAACCACTGAAAAATGAAATCACGTTTTGTTGTAAAAACATTCTTGCTTACTTATTATTAATACTTTATACTTTACAATTATATATTGAATAAATATATAAAACTAGTATAGTTAATGAATATCTATACACGTGTCGCATTCCAAAATGAGATGGATTTTTTGGAGATCATTCATGCTCTGAAGGTGCTGATACCTAAAATGGTGGGAATACTGCGCGTCGTTAAGTCAGCAAGCTAAACAATCAGCTAAAATAATTAATGTTTATCCTGAAGACTGCATGCAATACTGTCAGTGGTGTCATCTTGGTTATTATTGACTCCGACAAATTTAAAAAATGTTATTTTTTAAAATTGCCTCAAATAATTACTTTAAAAAGTACAAGGAGCACTCCACTAGAAATTATGATCAAACAACAACTAATTTGGACGTATTCATTGTCTTTTGTGCCATTCACATTCTTTTATTGCACAATACCTTAAAATAAGCAGTTCCTATGCTTAAATAAAGCAACTTCCTATGCTTTACTTAACAAATGTTTTTGCAAATATAATAGTCGGATGATTAGAACAAATAAGGCAAAGCTATTTAGACGAGATCCAATAACTTTTGCTGCATCAATTTTTCAATGGGAGGACTTGCGTTGTCTTAGAGGAAATTCACTCTGTCGTGCTTGATTTGTTTTTTGAGTGATCGTGGCGCAGTGCATAGTTAGTTCCTCGTCAATATCCGATACATCAGCAGAAACAATATAGTATTGAAAACGTTTTTATTAATAATTATTTTATAGCTAATTTATCTCCTAACAAAAATAATAAAAATCATATGGAAAGGTTAATTTAACTCTAAAAACATACCCTGTAAAAATGCCTTGCTGTATTACCATCGTTGGATGCTCCAGAACCGCCAATCTTTTTAACATATCTAAACTTTATAGGTTCTTAACATATCTTAATTTTATAGACAGCCCAAAGTTGACGAAGATTTCTCTTTAATTCATAGAATCTCAGCTGTGGCAATTACAGACATTTAAATTGATACCAAGCAAGTCAGGAGAAGACTTTCCTCAACAGATACATCTCATCACGAGTAAAAACTTTAGTTTTCTGTTTGTAAACAGATTGTTTTGTACTTCCGTCAAATCCAACTTTACAGATTATTACTGATTGACATCTTTCATTATTCTTTTTGTTGTATCCTTTTATATATTTTTAATATATTTTGAAGTTCTACCGCGATTGGGTAATTCTCTATTTGCATTTCAAAGGCACGGCTAGTGAAGGTTGAAAACCTTTTTATTAAGTGTTAGTTATTAAAGTATGTGTTTAAGTTTTTTCTTGGTTTTTGAAACAATCATAAAAGTAATGGTAAATATGAAAAACTATTTTGAAATTCAACAAGAAAAGATTAATTCTAAATGTCACTGCTGTATTCCCAACATTTCCAGATCATTCACATTTTTCACAAATAATTTAACAACTTTTTTTGACTTTGAGACACCTTATAAGGTATAAAAAGTTTATTAAATGCATTATAAATAAAAATTCTTTGCCAGTTATGTATGCATGTTTATTGCAAATGACTTTCTGTGACCTTTCATTTGGACCTTTTTGTTAAACTCTAACCCTTTTTGCACTAGAAAAATATTCAAAAGAAAAACACAGTTTTTTCTTTGACTTTCCAAACTTTGCGCATTGAAGTCCACTGATCTCTATAATAGTTGTTTTACTATGAAGATCAGTGAAAGTCAAACAGATCATCGTCAAGTGTGAACGTGAAAAAATTAACGGTAATATAAATGTGACCATACTACCGTTAAAAAATGTCGGTTTCTGAAAATTGTTAAGTCGGTTCACTCGTCGTAATGTCGCTATTAGTTTTGTGTTTGTTTCCCGCTTTAATTTCAGTTTAATTTTAACAACGAAATTTTTACAAGAAACTGAAGAATGTCACTTACAGCTGGTGCTATTCAGGTATCTTGTAATATTTTCACAGCTTAATACCAATGATAATATGGTAACTCGAATATGTTAACTAGAATAAATATTAAAAATATGACTATAAAAAAAAAAAAAAAAAATTAGAAAAATTGTTCATAAATATCGCAATAATAATTTATTAAAATCAATATTCAATACTAATAGTTTTTGTTTATAAGATCCACATATTAAAGCTACTTAAATCTCATGTTGTCTACAAGCTTTCTGTAATGCCATTAATGTTAGAGAAACCTCTAAATATTTTATTTTTATTTTATTTTTTTATTTGATTCAGACAACAAGTACAGTACAAGGTCCATAGTTAAGATAAAAAATAATAATTAAAAGTTCTGTTTAATCTATACACAGCTGCATTGCTGCTGGCACAGGTAACTAACTGATTTATAAGGCTAAGTCCGTAGTTATGCAATAAAGTATCTAGATTAAGCAAGTGTATTACCATAAACATATTTTTAGTGGTTGAGTACTTGTCATATCCAAATAAAATTTTAATATATTTCTTTGAACAAGAATCTAGCTTTAACATAGTACTTGCACTAAAATTAGTCCATAGAGCCACATAAAAACAGAGGCAGTAGGTATTAAATTAGGTATGTTAGATAAAAATTTTAAATTGATTAATTAATAGATCGTTATATATCATTGGAAAGATATTTAGTACACTATTTTAATGGTGAAAAAGTTATAAAAATATTATTTTTTTAAAATAAAACGAGCTTATTTTATCAAAAGTTTTAATTTTTATATACAAGAAACTGTTATAATTTGCATTCAGACCACAGCCAAATCTGAAAGGTGTATTTTTGAGTGAAGGGTGGATGGTGGTGTTATGATTTAACACAGCTTTTTATTAAAAATGAATAACTGATATAAATATATATATATTTTTTAATGAGAAAAACTGATATAAAATACAAAAATTATAATTCACTTCTTTTCAACATATACTAATGGTATATACATTGACTTAGGGTGAGGGACATAAACCCTCACTGACATTCCCTCCCCCACCACTCTAACCTGAAAAAAAAGTATTTTTTATGCAATTTTAATAAATTTAAATTGATACTATTTAAAATAAGATAAATTAATATAAAATTTTTTTACCACATTACAAGATGCATCAAAGTATATATATTTTAGTAAATGGAGAATTGTACCGCCTCTCCTTTTATCTAAAAAAGATAAATAAAAAAACTATATATTATTTTGAAACAAAAGCTGTAATTAATTTGTCTTGGCTTTTAGTAAATGATAAAAATTTAAATTTCAGTACTGAAATTTAATAATAATCATTGTTAACAATAAATACGATAAATAACGATAAATAAAAACTTGCAGTTTGGTCATTCCATGCCAAATCAGGTTGATATGTCACTTTCAATTTTTGGTTATGTAAACTTTCATATCATTTTTTTTTTTGTCAAGCCTAAAATCGTTTTAAAAAATGTAAATAAAAAACTATGTAAAATAATATAATGTATCCAATATTTTGTATAAATTCTTTAACAAATTGCAACATTTTTGTTATTTGAAAGACTATACAATAAATTTCTTAAAAGGATTTTTTGGAGATTTAATATTAAATCTCCAAAAAAATCCATTCCGTATTTACTATTACAACATTTTAATCAGTGTAATACATGTGAAAACTAGCAAAGCCATAAAAAAGTTGACATGTGCAGGATAATAATAGAATGACTTAAATGGTACCTTTTTGCAAGTCACACCAATTGCTGCACCTTTTTTGCAAGTTACACCACTTGCAGTACATTATTTATATATATGCAGGCTTGGTCAGGAAGCGGGTGCGATCGCACTTGATAATTGACCACGGAAATAATATTTAGTTGCGAAAAACCGGCCAGATTTTTTAGTTGTTTTGAGAATATTTCAAAAACAAACAAAAAAGCGCAAAAAGATTAACTGGACCAATGAGAGCCAGTTAAAAAAAAAAAAGCTTTTAACGCGAAAAAATTTTAGGCAAAATAAACACGATTAGAGCAAATATTTTTGAAACGTTGCTTTTTTATAATTTTTTTTATAAAAACGAAGTCACATTTTTTATTTAAAGTAACAACTTACTATTAATGATTGTTTAATAAGGTAACAAATGTTCTCTGATTTATCAAAGACTATATATAATTTTTATTTATATACTTATGTCTTATTTACAGTGCTGGATTGAAGAGATAAGGGTGGGGAGGGAGTAGAAGGACTATAGCCTCGAGACTCAAAAAAAGGCTGCCAAAATTATGCAGTTCCCGGCCCTGAAAAGTCCAACAAAATTCAACCAATAAAACTAACGCTAGGTGATTTATTTATTAAAAAAAAAGTTTTATCAATAAATGTTTTATTCTTTGTGTAGTTTGAAAAGTTTAACACATTTAAAACAATTTTTCTTAGTAAGATGAACAAATGAAATAATTAAATCATTGAGTTACTGTAGAAATTCAATTAGCTAAATAGAAATTACCCAAAAACGTTAAATTACTATGTGAGGAGGAAGCGGAACTGCTTCATAATAAAGCTAATGATCTTTAGTGAGTGGGTTTTATAATTTTAATTAGTATTCAAAACAGAAAAAAGAAACTTTAAGTTTAAGTATAACAAGTTTGTAAGAATGGCTGAAGCAAAAATAATTGAAGTTAGTAAACCAATTTTTCTTTCTTGCGCGAAAGTAATCAGTTATCGGGTACACTGAGGAAAATGGGTTAGTGGTTAAAATTATTTGTATTAACTTTGATGATTATTAATTATTTATTATTAGAAATTTCGGTTAGTACTTTTTGAACCAATAGAAATAGTTGTTCGTAGATTTGGCGGGTTTTTTGTGTTTTTTTTTTACTTTTCCGCACAAAGATTGTTTGAGAACATTCAAGTTTATGTTTGTTTCCATGTATGTCCGTAAACAAAATTTACGTTAAAATAATGAACTTAATTAAGGAAACATACATAAATTTAAATGTTCTCAAAACGACTAAAATATCTGGCCGGTTTTTCACAACTAAATATTATTTCCATGGTCAGTTATCGAGTGCGATCGCACCTGCTTCCCGACTATGCCTGATATGTAAATAATACACATTTACATAACATTTCACTTTATTTATATAGATCAAAATTATAAATATATCTTATATCACAAAACTAATATTATTACAGTCTATCATATGTACACATTTAAAACCACATAATAAATTTATGTAAGTATTAACTCTTCTGATATAACATCATCATGAAGATGGAACTTTTTTTAGCAATAGTCAACATTTCTGAATTGGTTTCTTCAATTTTCCATTAAGAAATAGTAAAGTCTGTCTTCATTTAGTAAGAAATAACAAAGTTCTTTTAGTAAGAAATAGTTAAGTTCTATCTTCTTTTCCTTTATTTATTTTTTCTACTTGCCTATCATATATTACATACATGCTATTAGCTGTATCAAACCATTCATGGTAGACTTCTCTCCCTACAATTCTTTTTGACATGATATCATTTAAGCCAGCAGGTTGCTTGTTATAAAAGTGTTTATATAATTATTATAATTGTTATTCTTCGTATCATTAAAAGATATTGCTTCGGCTTTTTTTTGTCTTTTTCATTGATTTTTTGCCTTTTACATGTCTGCCTTTTTGAAATTTCTGATTTTAATGCTATATGGTTTAGTCAATTTTTTTTTTACAAGCTTCATTAATATATCACTTAACCACATTTTTCTGTATATTTGGTTTATACTTTCTAGATAGTCCATTGTCCTATTATTTATTGATGAGGGAATCTTAATTTAGTTTGACTAAAATTACTAAACATACCCATTAAATCTTCACTATAAAAAACAAAATTTCCTAGCATATGCAATTGTTTTACAGTAGCTGCATTACAAAATGCTGCTCGCAAAACTAACTGTAAAGTACCACATTTTACTGTCAACTAAATGCTTTTTAAATGCTCCATTAAATACAGACAACATTTTTTTTGAGGGGCCATAAAACCTATTAAAATGAATAATATGGAAAAGTATTTAGAATTTAAGCAAATTATATATATATATATATATATATATATATATATATATATATATATATATATATATATATATATATATATTTATATATTTTATACAGCCATTTCTATTTTGCTGAAAAAGTTTACTCAAATGCTTTATACTTATCCATATTATCCATTTTTATAGTTTTAAGGCCCTATAAAAAAAGTATATATTATATATATATATATATATATATATATATATATATATATATATATATATATATATATATATATATATATATATATATATATATATATATATATATATATATATATATATGTATATATATATATATATATATATATATATATATATATATGTATATATATATATATATATATATATATATATATATATATATATATATATATATATATATATATATATATTATATTATATTATAAGTATAAGAATCTCAGCATATAATTAGTAGTAGAAAAAAATCTTTTTACCTTTTGATAACTTGTGATGCCTTTTTGCTAGTCATAAAAATTGTGATATACATTCTTAAAACACATTCCATATCAAGAAATGATATTGAAATATCATTTTAATTATTAAAACAATCTATACAAAAACTTAAAGAGATTTATTAGAATAATATTTTAAATATGTATTTAAACCTTTTATCTAAGAAATAAGTGACATAATTATTTAAATAACCTTAAACAAAATTTTTCTTAATGTAATACTATTAGTAATAGTATTACATTTGTAATATGAAATTTACTTTTGCTTTATTAACAAATATTAAAATAAAATACGTACAAACCTCCTCCCCCCCCCCTATCTGCCTAAAAACAGTATGAAAAAAATAAAATTAGGTACCAAAAGCGCAGGTAAAATAGGAAATATGCTGGTCAAAATAAAGCCTTGAAATTTGGTATACTCATAGAAAATGTATAAACTTAAGCAAAAGAAT